ACAACCTTACCGTGGATCAGAACTGATTAGTAAAGAGATGATCATGTACGCTACTAACCATGACATCTAATCCCCACAACCTTACCGTGGATCAGAACTGATTAGTAAAGAGATGATCATGTACGCTACTAACCATGACATCTAATCCTCACAACCTTACCGTGGATCAGAACTGATTAGTAAAGAGATGATCATGTACGCTACTAACCATGGCATCTAATCCCCACAACCTTACCATGGATCAGAACTGATTAGTAAAGAGATGATCATGTACGCTACTAACCATCTAATTCCCATAACCTTACCGTGGATCAGAACTGATTAGTAAAGAGATGATCATGTACGCTACTAACCATGACATCCAATCCCCACAACCTTACCGTCGATCAGAACTGATTAGTAAAGAGATGATCGTGTACGCTACGAACCATGACATCCAATCCCCACAACCTTACCGTGGATCAGAACTGATTAGTAAAGAGATGATCATGTACGCTACTAACCATGACATCCAATCCCCACAACCTTACCGTCGATCAGAACTGATTAGTAAAGAGATGATCATGTGTGCTACTAACCATGACATTTAATCCCCACAACATATGCTATATGAAGAAATATTAAAGCACTATGAAAAATACTGACATGATTGTATTAATGTTTTCATAATAGTAATATGATTAAAGTTTAGAACTTTGAAATGTTTCTGCTGTAACTGAAGTTTGTCCATAAAGTGAAAGCATTGGTTATGTCTTCATATCAAACCCCAGTTTACTTACATAATTCTCTTGGTCCAGTACAGACTTCGTGAGCTTTAAAAACCAACCCAAGCATGACAACTGTCAAAGTGAAAGAGAGGCTGCAGCACAGTATGCCTTCCAGGATGGGACAAACTGGAGCCAATCATCCACATAATAGAAAAAGTGTAGAGGCAATGAGTGTATCTGCCATACAAATGACCTCAGAATAAAGACAGAAACATATGTGGCTGTAGCTACCCCAAAGGGAAGGGGGCCCTAAAATAAAATATTAGATGAAACAAAGGCAATAGGTGGCCAAACAAATCAGAAGGTGGAGGAAAGCACAAAATCACCATTTTCTAATTGTTGTCTGAAGGAAAAAATAACACAAATGATCAGTGCAGTTTCAAGGAAAGTGTCACCCTCCTATTGTTGGAGGGGTATAGTCTAATGCTGAGTGTATCCAAGACCAGCACAGTTCACATTATTACGTATATGGATGAGAGCTCACTCAACCCTTTTTTGGTTATAGCGAGAGATATAAGTTATCTGTTCCATCAAGAAGTAAATGGTTCTTTTACTTCAGCCAGATTATGCCGAATTACTACAAAAACTGGTGCTATCTCTCATTGTGCAATATATAACAACTGGAATGTATTCAATCACTGCTCCATTCTTTCAAAACAATCAGAATGTGATAAGTATTTATAAGTTAACTGGTTGGTTGTAAAATTATGACTTGTCACTTAAATGCACATGTTGCACTGTACATATGCTGACAACAAAGGCCAACTTGCCTGAAATATAAAATGATTTAGTGTTTTTACTATTTAACTTGCCTACAAGCTAAGTTTAAGCTTCTGATATAAAACATGTCATATCACAATAGGTAAAGGTAGTTCATTTAGCTGGGTCTGAAGTACTTGGTCAACATCTCAGTTTAGATTAAATTATTAGTATGTTTTAGAAAACTTATAATGCTATTAAATTGGCATTTCTTACCTTTTTGACATTTTTAATTTGTAAACATCCTTTCAAAACTTTATCTATCAAACTCTGCAGCCACCTAATGACTGATTCCCGGGTCAGGTATTTCTCTTCGTCAAAGAATCTACTGAGGTTGCGTGTGGCATTCTCCGTGGGGCCACTGATGCTGTCAATCAACTTGCATTTAACAAATGATGGTGCTGAATCTTCAGTTTCTATCTGTTTCATCATACTCACTCGGTATCTGATTTACTGAACTCATTTGCTGAATGGGCTGAGCCTTCTCTCTTAGGTCTCTGAGAAGCGGAGCTTCTGGTTAACAAAGCTTTCATATTTCCTTTTCTTCCAATGGGAGTGGTTCTGTCTCTTTTAGGAACTCTAGAATCTCTTGAGTCCCCTGTTCATATGAGATAAGCTCACAACCCCTACAGTGGACTCTGCTAGTTCAGTAGAATATCACCATAGATCCACTGTCTTCCCTCATTTCTCTACCTCTTTCTCATCGCTTCTTGCTGTCATGGTTGTTCAATTTTTCCCACATGATTCTGGGCTTCCCTCTTCCTCCACCCTGCCTGGGATGTCTCTCTAGCCAGGTGTTCGGAGTCTCTAAACGAGGGATCTTTCCATATCAGTATCCTTGATATTTTGACAGTTCAATGAGACTGCCATCATTTTCTGTTACATATATCTGGACATCTTTTCATTATTCATTCTGACAAATTCACTGTCATCAACCAACATGGGGTATTTGTTACTAGGACCCGTGCTTTCTCTTTCTTGAGTTCCTCTTTTCAATTCAGGACCAACAAATTTTGGTTGTCGGCCTGCCGTGTTCTTGAAACTATAAGTTTAGTGGCAAATCATTTGTGATGTCTGGACTGGATCTTTTTGACAGTGGTCTTTACATCCTTTGGTGTGTCAGGGGATTTGTTCCAACAATTTGTCATGTCTGGACTGGATCTTTTTGACAGTGGTCTTTACATCCTCTTGGTGTGTCAGGGGATTTGTTCCAACAATTTGTCATGTGTGGACTGGATCTTTTTGACAGTGGTCTTTACATCCTCTTGGTGTGTCAGGGGATTTGTTCCAACAATTTGTCATGTGTGGACTGGATCTTTTTGACAGTGGTCTTTACATCCTCTTGGTGTGTCAGGGGATTTGTTCCAACAATTT